AGCTAGAGAAGTATTAGCACTCCAGACCCCGTGTAACAAGCAGCCACCGCCACGAGAGCCAGCTAATTAATAGCTTATTTTAAGTACTACTAAGTTTCTTTCTACGATCTAGAAGTAGCTAATACGCAACTACCAATCACGTATTACATTTATCTCTTCTAATTAGTCTTAACGACTAAAGAGTAGCGATAGATTTAGGCTACCTATAACGTATCCCAATATTATAGACTATTTTGGTACTAATATTTCTGTTAATTAGGTGCCTGAATAGGAGGCGGAAAGAAGCCCGGGTTGGAGATGAGCGGTGACTACCGCGCTCCACTAACCACCTGACCAGTGGGGCAAAGCACGACAGAGATGTACTACTTAGAATGGCCCCTGTAGGCTGTGCCTTAAAGGGGCTCAGTCCTTCCGCGCTGCTCAATGTGAATAGTGATAACAACGAGCCATTTGATCTGTTGTACCATATCAATCATGACACGAGAAAAAATCAATTTGCCCTCTACGGATGCCTTTGTCAGTGTCTTGCTACTTGATGGCGGCAGTTTCGTCGGCGATTGGAGCCTCATGCATGTTGGCCAGACCGGGAAATTTCGCCTGTACAATTGGGCATTTCATATAACACACAAGGAAAAACATATACTTTGGGACTTAGGATTAGATGACGTGAGTGTACCAGAGAAATGGGGCCTGTGGTACTTGACTGACTTTGTCATAGAACTGGGACTGCTACACGCCTTGGATCACCAAGCACATGCTGCAGTTTGTTAACCATGTTGGCCCAAGGCGTACCGTTGTGCAACAGTTGTCCGAACGGGGCGTTTCAGCCACAGACATTGATTCGGTTATTTTCAGGTACAAGGCCATTATTGAGACATCTAGCATGTATCGACTAACATACGAGTAGCCACGCTCACTGGGACCATTGCCGACCGATTTCCGACGTGTTTCCAAATGCAAAGGCGCGTTTTGGTCCGGGCACAAAATCAGCATGCCAGCCAGGTCATTGGAAAGATCCCAACTCGCAGTGGGACGGGCGCTTCTTTGACCCAGAGCACGCCACCGAGACTTTGGAAGAATTACAGGGCGACTGGAAACAGTTCGGACCATTCGAAAGGGCTCTAGATTATTTCAGAGATGGCAGCTTTTGGATCTTAGATGCACCAGGACACATGCCAGGCAATCTTGCTGCCGCTGCCAGATTGCAAAACGGCGAATGGGTCGTTCTTGGGAGCGATTGTAAGTTTTCTTCACATATATCATCATTAGCGTTGACTAAAATAATTTGGTTCTAGGTTGTCATTCGAGGTTTGTTACACTTGTATGCATTTGAAATCCGCTAATGAACTAGGGAATTACTCGATGGCGTACGCGAAATTGCCGAGTTTACAAGTCCCGAGCTGAAGCCCATGTCTCTCCACACAGACGTTACATCTGCTAGAGACACCATAGCCAAACTGCGGACATTAGAAACTGACTACGGAGCTCACGTAGCGCTCGCACACGACGCCACGTGGCTGAAGAAGGGCACAGATAAGGTGCTGATGTCGCTGCTAGATGCGAGGATGAAGGTGGCGGCTAAAGAAAAGATAGTTCACGATGAGATACCTTAGCCAGTTAGCGCCATGTTAGTGTCCACGCTCTTGGGGAACCGAAAGAGCCGATCACAAACTAAGTCTAACGTTTACAAGTATTACTATGGGAACTCGGTTAATATCAATTTATTGAATTGTCATACCCAAGCAGTGCGTGATGTTGGCTTTGTTGAGCAGTTACACAGTTATACTGTTGAGGAGTTACACTGCTGCGTTATCCGTTTATGACGATCCCCCAAGAGACGGGCTGATCGTGTCCATTCAGCTAGGAAAGGTTGTCGCCCCCACCACGAGTACTGTGTCCGTGCGCGGAATGCGCGGATTCGCGCAATGCGCCGAACCACCAAAAACAGCTCCACCAAAATTGAGGCTGCCGCACCACGTAC